ACTACGAGATTTCAATCAGAACCACAAATTATATAAGTGAATAAGAGCAATTTATCTTTTGATATTTTTGTAAAAATGCATTTTCGTTTGTAAATTACAGTACATTGCCTTGATTTTCGTCGGTTTCCCCCAAAAGTTTTTTCTCTCTGTCAGTAACTCTCAATATGGCAGATTGACGCTTACTCGACAACTGAATTCACAGTAATTACTTTATTTCAATGTATCTTTTTAAACTTTTATGAAAATTTTCTGTTTTTCACATTTTCTGCAATTTTTTGGCGTAAAAAAAATTTTAAAGTAAATTTTTCAAATTTAATTTGTTTCCAGCTTGTTGCATAATACTTATTTCATGGCAAGTTAAATAGACAAATTATAAACATATGAAAAATTAACTTTTTCTGAACTTAATTACTCAAAGTTTGCAGTAAAAATTCAGCACAGTGTAAAAACTTATTTTTTTTGCAAATGTAAATTACAGTACAATTTTAAAAATAAAATTGAATTTTTATTTTTATTTTATTTAAAAATTCAAATTTAGGATAGAAATCAATTTTACAAACTTTTCTCGAAAACGCATTGCTGACTATCGCTACTTCAAATTCATTCTGAAACGGTGCAAACATACATTTGCGAAGGCTCTTTTGAAAAATTTATTTGCACAGTTTTCTATTTAGATAACTCAAAATATGCTAAAAAACATTTGAATAAATCTGTTCGAGAAATGAAATTAAAAAATGACTCATTGTTTATTTAGATTTTATGAATATTTTATCAATCAAAAAAGTAACTTAATTTGACCTTTAAGCGTTTATTATCAATCAAGAAATATTCAAGGTCGTTTTCCTTATTTTTACTGCTGCTTATCAAGATCTGTGATACCGCGGGATTACTGTTATGTGTTGTACTTGCTTCACTTTTACACTTCGCTTCAATCCTATCTATCGTTGCTTGATGGATTTTAGGTCCTTTCGATCGCATCTCAAAAACTAATCAACTGTTTAATCAAAAAGCTTTACTATTCACATACTTATATATCTAAAACTTGTTTCAATAAATATTATCAAAGTTTCTGATAAAATATTTTTAATGAATAAATTGAATAATTGCTGTTTTATATGTTTGTACAAAACTTATTCTTTAAAAGAACATAAAACGGTCAGTTTTTACTCAGTGTGAAATTATCAATGATTTTTTAAATGCCAAAGTTCATTTGAATTTTTGCTTGTTTCATTTTTATTAAATATTTCTTTTTTTGATTATTCAAATCAAACGCGTTATACCTTTCGGAAGTGTATAGCGTAGGCTACAAGTCGATCGACTAGAAAATATGCATATAGTGATACAAGTAATATTGACATTTTCATAAGATCGTAATTTGATTTCGTGAAATTCAATCCAAATGCCTGTAATTGATTTAAATTTTTACCGCGATTTTGATTTAATAATTTAGTATCTTTTTCGAATTTCAATCATTAATTTCAGGTTGAAGGCTGTTTAAATGTTGAAAACATTAAGGTAAAGTTTCAAAAACATTGCTAAAATCTTACTCCTGGAATAAGTACAAACAATGTTGAGCCTGAAAGTGTACCAATGCCCAAAGCTACCAGAAAAGTCATAAAATATTGGTAGATTTTTTTATTAAGAAATGGTACAAAAGTTATGCAAATTGCGGGCCCAAATGCTGTAATCGTTATGACAGCAAGCCCAGTACCCCAAGCTGAAAATGTAAATTTATTAAGGTAATTTTAAAATATATCTTCGAAAGTCAAATAGAAATTAGCTAAAACTTTGAGCTGTTTCCATTCGGTATTTACTGCTAGTCAGTCAAAATTCTAAGAGCTTTTTTCGGAATTAAAAAATTTTAATTTATTATTAAGTATATTAATTCTAATTTTTAGAATATTATAATCAGATAGTTACTTAGAAATAATAACTTTATTGCCTGTAATATTTATTACTTTTAAAGTTATCAAATTGTGAATAATAAACTCATTACATTAATAAGTGAATATTAATTAAAAGTATGGTTTATAAGTTAAGCAACCAAAAAAGCATTGCTAAGCTAAAATACTTTTCCACAAGACTGTTTTCTTCAAGTCCATTGTTTCATCTGCCTGTGTTACATTTTCGGATGTTAAAAATAGCATCTTTGATTATCGAAAGCTAAAAATAGAAATACTGAAATCAGTTTAAACAAAAGTAAGTAATTAAATTACAAATTGTAAATTTTATTAAAAAAATTCTTACTATGAAATAAAATTTCTCGACTAATTCACAAAACATTTTTTAAACGGAAATTAACAAAAATTTTAGGTTGCTTTAATTCAGTACTTACTTTTAGTTGATCAAAATTTTTAAAACTTCTTTGTGATTAGAAATTTCTGAAAAAAAATTAATAAATAATGAATAATAATAATAATAATAATAATAATAATAATAATAATAATAATAATAATACATAACAATAAATAATGATAATAATGAAAATTTATGTCTCCATAAATTTTTAAAAGTTTCCAAAATTTACCAGCAAACTTATTCAAATCTTTTGAAAATCTTTACAAAATTTTGGCAAGTTATCACGTAAACATTACGTAGCTGAAAGTGAATACTTTATCAATACAGAGTGTATTTAAAATGACCATTTTTGACCATTGTGAATCAGAATAAAAAAATGTTTATTTTATGAAAAGTTCAGTGCAGCAAACAATGAGAAAAGTATCAGAAAAGTCTCAGATAAAATCTAAAATCAACAGAAAATTTTGAAGTCCAATTTACAATATTAGCTTTTTTAAATTTGTGTGATGAAGACTTTTGAATAAATATCTCTCAAATCGTAACGAAAATAATATTGCGTTTACCACTTTTTCAAAATTTGAAATTAGTTTCAAATTTTTAAAAAATTGACTAACTGTGTAAAAATTGCATAGCTAATTATTTTATCAGTTATTTATAATTTTTAAAATATTCTAATCAGAAGTAATAACTTCACTGTAAGTAAAGTAATAACTTCATTGCTTGCAGTATTTATTACTTCTTAATTTTTTTGACAACTATTTTATTTCCTGTTTTTATCAGTTATCAATA